TTTGTCTGATTATGTTCAAATTTTTAATATTCATTATACATCATGTCACAGATATACGGATATATCGGTTTGATGATCTTTTTCAAAGTGTGCTATTTTTGTGCTGAAAAAATCCTCGAATATCAAGCATTTCTTGCATTTATGGATGGATTTTGTTCAAACTTGTAACACACGTTAGACATTACAGGTTCCTGATGCATGTCATTTTATTTTTCAGATTGGATTCAAAATAGCTGACTGGCAGCCATTTTGTTTTAATGATTGGGCTTCTAGAGCCATATCTCTTAAATGCTTTGACTGATTATATTCAAATTTTATATATTCGTTATACATCATGTTATATATATATATATATATACATTCATTCATTCAAAATGGCTGATTTTGAATGCTGTTCCAGAGCAATATCTCTCAATATGGACAAGTACTCGTTTGACGATCAGATACAAATGTCAATCATTTTAATGTTAAAATAACCATATTCCTGACATGGTTATATTCCAGCTATATTACTATAAACTTAAATTTGATAACTAACGGGGACTGTGCCATGCACGGCTTGTTTTTTGTACTTTTACTTCTCAATTCTGCAGATGTTTCAAGATGCATCTCAACCTGTATCCTGGACATGCCGGGACTGATTTCATTCAAATGTACATCAAAAATATTGGGATACATTTGCACATTCATTCTTTTCAAGATGGCCAAACAGCAGCCATTTTCATGCTTGAAATTCATCAAAATTAAGCTATTCAATTGTTCATGGATATATTTCATTTGAACTTCATTGAACCGTTTTTGATGCACAACAATTATTTTTATGCAGACCAGATTCAAAATGGTCGCCTGACAGCCATTTTTCACACCCTATCTCTCTTTCTTGACCTATCACGTTGAAATGTTACACATATATTGGTGGCCATTTTGTTTTAATGAATGCTATTCAGATCTATATCTCGTGTTCATACTTTGTATATTTTTAAATGTGATTACGTATTTTCTTTATTTATACAGGCAGACAAAATCCATCTCTCCAGTGAAGGAACAGGAAATAACACTAAAGATATCGCCGATGATTGAACCTGATGAGGGTTCGGAAGAGTTGAGTCAGTGGTGAAGAATAATGAAATATCACCGAAAAAAACAGGATATGAAGGAGGTGAAAACTGAAGAGCAATCTGAGGGGATATTTGATGATGCGGATGATTTTGATATTGACAAAGAGAGTAAAGTAGTTGATATGGCAATACCTAGTGAAGAAACTGTTTTGATTACCAAGGAACCAGTAATGCCTGTTGTCATTGCAAATGATATAACCAAAATAACTGTTTTTCCACCGACTAACATTTTAAATAATGTAAATGGTCCTGCGGGATTTGACTGTCTTCCATCGCCCCCAGGTATTAACAATGTAGCAGGAGCGCCCTCTGGAGGAGCTGTGATAAATGTCTCAGTTGCACCATCTTCGGTCTCACCAAGAAACAGTCCAAATAGCTTTGTGACTGAGAGTAGAAATGTGCTTTCCTACAAGCCACCTGACATTCCTCTGACTGAGACTGTTTCGCTTTCAGTGACATTTATTAGTAAAGATGGTATGATCTATGGGCATGAAGTTAGAGAAGGTAAGTAAAAGCATTTAATTTTTGACTCCCGTGTGCGAAACTTTGCAGTTAGTGTGTCTGTCTGTCTGTCTGTCTGTCTGTCTGTTCCATCGATATCTCAAGAACCAATGTTCGGATTTCAATGAAACTTGGTATATAGCTTGTCTGGGGCAATGCGCATATTTGATTAGTTTTTGGTTGACATCCATGCATATCATCTGCATAATAATGTGTGAATTTTAAGCTATTTCAGTTATATCTCAAGAAGCATTAAAACGATTTTTATGTAACTTGGTAAGAATGTTACTAATGATTGGCTGCTGCAATTCATTGTTGTATTTTACATTTTAATTAAAATTTAGCATTTTTTATGTATTTTTTTATTATTTATTTTTTTATGCCCAGTTGCATGAATACAACTAATAGGAATCGGTGAGTGGACTAATTTGCATAATGATGCGCATGCGTGTTCTATTTTTTATGACCACCAATTTATGATGGTGTCAGCCATTTTGTTATTTCCAGTGTGTTGTACAAAAACGAAGCAAGCACACGGGAGATGAAATGTATCAGTTTATGAAAAGGTCTAAGAAATTACATGTATGATTTTTTTATTATCGTATAAGTAAATAAATAAATAAGTAATTGAACAAATGTATAACCTCAATGACTGTGAGACGAATTACTGTGCAAGCTAGTTTACATTCACGTGTGGTTTACAATTACATTCAAGCAACGGAACATTGAACCCTGTGTGAGCCCAGTCAAGAAATAATGAATGTGAGATTCATCATTGCCAAAACCATGGCAGTGTTGAAGATATGAAAATGGTTGGTAGGTTCGATTTCATGGTAAAATGTTGTGTAAATTCGTTGTACTTGTGAATCCTGATTTATCACCGTATTATTGAACGCGAGAACAAATATGGTGACCTCCAGCATCAATGTACATGTAGTTGTATCAAGTCGCTGCCGTAAATAGATATTTCCTTTGTATCGCTTACCAACATTGTATTGAACTTCTTTCCTTTATTTTCTTTTACACATTTGGAAACTTGCGAAGTGCACTTTCACCCCACCTTCCCCAAATTACGAAGCTATGAAGTCGATTAGTAGGTATAGGATGTCAATGTGTGTTGATGACTACTGCGTTGTATAAGGGCTTCTCGTACGTAAAATGGGGCACATTCCCAGTAAAAATATCTATTTACACAGAGCTGACAAAATTCGCCTACATGTGTAAATATATGTTGGGATTTGGAGAAAAAAACTCGTAAAACATACCGAATTTACCGTGACAGGAGTGATAAATTTTGGTGCTGATTGTTGGTGGGCTGATCAGCATGTCGGATTATTTCTGAGAACGTTCTTCCTGTGGGAAATCACAAAATCATTAGCACTAAGTAAGCTGGTTTACCTTATTTTTGTGTCAGAGTACTCTGTTCAAATGACATGAATCGACATGCGATGATTACCAAAACAATTTGACAATCAGTGTCTCATTTGTTCACCGCCCCCTCAACACAGTGATTTGATATGACGGTGATGTGTTATGAGGGATATTTTTTGCCGGCCCTTTTCGCCGAAAATTACGAATTCATTGGCTCTAATATATCCTAGTTTACTTTAGTTGTTTCATCTGTACATTGATTTTACCTAGCAAAGGAAACAATCGGTGTCTGGCTTTGTTATATTTACACTATTGCAACACCTTGTGTGGGCCCCCAGCGTGAGCTTCGTGTTTCACTATTTTTTTCACGGAATATTACACGGCACGATATCTCTCAAATCGGAAGGCACATTTATTACTCGAGTTACTGTTCTTATTAAGTTAAGCCATGGAGCAAAAAAGAAAATATGGTTAAGCTGAATACCATGCTTCATGTGGAATGTATAGACCGTGATGTCGGCATTAACTACTGGATGCATAGTGGAAACCACTGGGGCAACGCCACGCTGACCGGCGTCTCCTGCCTGGTAAAAAAAACAAACATGCAGGACGGGCTGCAGGATTTTAAGTC